AAGAGAATATGAGGTTATATAATTTAGAAATAATGCTTCTGGTATTAGCATCTATTTCCAGAATATCATCAAGGGATGATTTTGAGGGAGCGCTAGGGAAGTCTGTAAAAACATTTCTAACATAATTCCGAATTTGCAAAAATCTAAAAAAATTAGATTTAAGAAGAGGAAATCGATTACCAAGCTGTGAGAAAGTACAGAATGTGTTATCAGCATACATATCTTTGATCCTCTTAATACCAGCTCTGTGCCAGCTAAGAAAAGCAGAATCTATCATCGAAGGTGGAAATAAGGGATTGGCTGTAACAGGCATGTTTATAGATGGAGATTGAAGACCAAAATTATGTCTAAACTGGCGCCAAATACGTACTGAAGCATTTAATATTGGGTTAGCAAAAGATTGATTGAAGCTAGATGCCAGGGGAGCACATAATACTGCCATCAAAGAGATAGGTCTTGCAGCATCAATCTCCATCGCTGTCCATGCAGGAACCCAGTTGGAGACGCGAGGCCACCTACTTGCTTAGGGCTTTGAATAAGCGCTTTGCGGATTTTGGGGAGCTTACTGTTCCAAATAAAATCAGATATATATTGGTCAATAGTTTTAAAAAACGATTTGGGGAAAAACAAGGGAATTGATTGAAAGAGATATAAGAATTTGGGGAGTATATTCATTTTTACCGAATTTACTCGGCCAATTAAGGACAGGGGAAGGGAGGACCAGCAGGATAGATCTTCCTTGACCCGCGACATTAATGATAGAAAGTTACCTTTAAAAAGTTCGGAATATTTACAGGTCAGGATAACACCAAGATATTTAAAACTGTGTGAGATAATATGGAAGGACAAGGCACTCTGAGGTAGATCATTAGCTGTAATATTAATATGTAATATTGATCCGTATGTATTATGCTACCTAACACAGTTTCAAGCCGTTTAGCCAGCACTTTTGACAAGTTTTTAACATCTACATTAAGAAGACTAATAGGCCGGTACGCAGCACAGGTCTTTATCTTTCTTCAAAATCAGTGATCACCCCGTTCCAAAGAGTCATTAAACATTTCCAATAGTGCGGGAGCAAGTTCACTCGAAAATATTTTTTAAAAATTCTGCAGGGAAGCCGTCGGGACCAGGGGTCTTGCCGCTCTGCATAGCTTGAATGGCTGAAATAATTTCCTCTTTAGTTATAGGTGAATCTAATTCAGCTTTGGCTGAGGTACTAATAGTAGGAATTGGAAGGCCTTCAAAAAATGTCTCCATTTGTTGTATGTCAGGAGTAGAATCGGATTTATACAATGATGAATAAAAGTTCAAATAAAAAGTTTAAAACAATTATTGATTTCCAAAGCGCCTGTAGTGAGAGTACCACACTGCATACGAATCTGTGATATTAAATTTGTGTTCAAAAAAGGATTGCCGTGAGCGTAAAAGCGTTTGTCCCGCATGATGAGTGGAGAGTAAATTAAATTCAGATTGCAGAGATGTTCTTTTCTTTAAAGTATCTGGATCTGGGGAGAGGGCACAGAGCATGTCCAGCTGCGTGATCTCATTGGTCAACTTTAGAAGTTTTTCTTTACGCTGTCTATTTTAAAAAGACAAATAAGAAATGGTCTGACCTTGAATAACTGCCTTTAAAGCTTCCCAAACAGCAGAGGGGGAGACATCTGGAGTATTATTGAGGCTAAAAATATTTGAATATTATCAGTGAGGTGCTGTGTGAAAGCACTATCTGAGAGCAGGAGGGAGTTGAAACGCCACAATTTTGAAGTAGAAGGCTTGTCTGGAAAAATAAGTGCCGTAGATATGGTGGCATGATCAGAGATAACGATACTGCCGTAACAACAGGATTTTACTCTTGATAAGAGAGCTTTATCTATAAAAAAGTAATCAATGCGAGAATAGGACAGGTGAACCGATGAAAAGAAAGAATACTGTCTACTGTTAGGGTTAAAAAAGCACCAGACATCTGAGTAACCATGTGAAATAAGAAAAGATTCTAGTCCTTGTCTAAAGAGATTGTGAGTGTTTCGTTTGTTAGACGATCTATCCAAATTGGGGTCCATGACGCAATTAAATTCACCACCCATGATGAGATAATGAGAGTTTAAATCTGGGAGAAGCATAACAATTTTGTTAATAAATCTAGAATCGTCCCAATTGGGTGCATAAATGTTAACTAAAACTACAGGTGTTTCATAGAGGCGGCCTGTAACGATCACATATCGCCCTGCCATATCTGACTGAATTAAACCGGCTGTGAATTGGACACTTTTGTCTATTAACACCGCTACTCCTCGAGATCTACTTGAAAATTTTGAGTGAAATATTTGCCCCACCCATTTTCTATGAAGCTTTTTATGTTCAGAAGGACGCAAGTGCGTCTCTTGTAAAAAAAAGCAATGTTGGTATTTAAGGCCTCGAGATGTGAAAGAACCTGATTCCTTTTGATAGGTGAATTTAACCCCCTAACGTTCCAACTCACAGAGTTAATCATAACACTGCCAATACCAGGCATATAGAAAGGCAAGAGCAGGTATAGCTCCAGCGTAAAAATTGAGAGGCAGAGGGTTTTAAAATCTCAACAGAACAAAAAAAACATTCAAAGATTCCAAGCAGAAAATTAAAAAAAAGGGAAAACAACTTAAGCTGCGTAGACACCAAAGACACATCACTCAAACTCAAACATCACTCTCCTTAACTATGGAGAGGGAACATCGTGACAGACTGTATGTGAATAAACGACTCTATATAAACGTACTGAGAAAAAATACACTTAGCTTATACAATGTAATATGCACAACTATATATAAAAGTATGTGTTACCAAGAAATGAGAGGGGTAAAAAGAAGAAATAGGATTGGGCCAAAAAATGTATTTTGGGGTTTGTGACTCTCTCCAGCTTGACTTACCCCTGAAACACAACAGCTTTTTACAGTTGTTGGGGGGGAGGGGGAGTCTTCAGCTTTGGAAAAATGACTCTGCTGTCTGCTTCTGCTGAAACAATTGCTACATTGCTAGCTCTGCTCATCGTATGCCCAAGGCAAGAACTTTTCACACAAGATGACTAACCTACCAAATGCACAGAAGAAAATGGGGAAGAGGTATTTGCATACATACATCAGCACTTTTAAGTCGTTCTGGATGAAGTGATATGTTTTGCACAGTTCGGAGTGTAGTTAGCTAATCAAGTACTGTTAATACACATAGGTTAGTAGTTAATGAAGTTAGGACAAAAAGGGTTCTGCTAGTGTTACAATGTCAACCATTTTTAAAACGCTCTATATAGAACCATATACAACACATTCTCCATCAATCTGAAGAATGATTTCACCATGCAAAGAACCATTTAAGCATGCAAATGGTTTCTTTGAGTGTTCATAGTTCTATATAGAACCATTGTATAGAACCAAAGAAACCTTGAAGACCATCTTTTTAAGAGTGCATTAAAGTTAGGCCAGGCTTCTAATCATCATTTTCTCCTTTAATGCTTTTGTTTACAGCTTTTAGATTTTCAACTGTGTTGGTCAGGGGTTGTTTGGCCTTGTGGCACTTTGGGAAGTATTTAATGCATTCTTTGTACTATTTATATATAGATTATATAAAGATAATAGCTAACTAAGTACATTTGCATTTGCAATTGCCTTTAATTTGCTTTTTAAGACCTCAAACATGACAACTGGTTTTGTGTTATATAAGTTCATTCATTTTATGTTAGAGCATTCAAAACATATATCTAGAATGACCAATAATCAATGATCAATGATCCAGATAATTTAATAATTGTTTTTAATGGTAAAGCCATTTAAAATAAGTAAATTTAAAATTCAAACTCTAGCTTCAAAGATTGCATGAAGGTCATTCATAGAGAAAAATTAAGAACATTATAGAATAGAATTAACATGTAAACCTTCGTTTAGCAAGAAATTGTTTTTAAAACTGACTGAAATGATGAAAGGTTTCACACTGACAAAAAGCACACTGCAATAAAGTTTATGTTTGGTTTACATGAAACGAGTTAAAGTGAAAAATTACTGTTAGTGTTATATGTATACTAAGTTAATATTTAAGTTTTGAGTGATTCTGCAAGCTGATGAGCTAGGGCAAACTGAAATATCTAAAACTGCAATCTGTGGGGTCCAAGCACTGTTTTACAGTCAAATTTGCAATTACTGCTGAAGCATCTTTTTTAATCTGTGTCTATCAATATTTGCAGGCTATTTTAAAATAATAAAGTGGGCATGAATTTTAGATGTAATGAAAATGGGACAAAGCATTCCTTTAATTGTCCAGCAGAAGTTGCCGCTTCGTTGTCCTGCATATCACATCTGTAGTTTTCATAGATTTAGTAATAGTTTTAATGAGATTAAAGATTATGCTGTATCCTATAACATCTTTGGTAATAAAACAATTCTGGGTGATCCATCTTACTGTCTTCAAATTTGCCAATAGAATGTTGAGTGTTTAAGAACCCTTGTCTTGTGCTTTAGTAGCATTTTACCACAAAGGGTGCCTAATCCTCAAACTGAGCATCAGCTATTCACATTTTACACATAACTTTGTACACAATTATACTCAAGTAAGACATAATATATTACCTTGTCCTTTTATATACAATGTAATATGGTTACTTCTCTGATTATACCATGTAATCAGAATCTGTTAATGCATGCTCAGGTAGTTTTGCTACCTGCTTCTCCTGATAAAAGTGATATGTTAAGAAAGCTTATACCGTAGTTTGGCTACAATGCATGCACATTACATGCACATGTACATTAAATTTAATCAGAATTTTGTGTTTTCAACAATTACCAGCTAATTTGTCATTATTGTGCTCATGAAAATAGCATATAATGATATGTATGATGTCTTATATTCAATTAAAGGTGCTGTCAGATTTCAAGAAATCCAACAAGTTAAGAGTCTTCAAAGCTTGCATACACTCTATGCTATAATTATATGTTTTGTTCATTTACATTGAAATAACAGGACTGGAAAAGATGTTATGTTGCAAGTGCTTTATTGATCCATTCCATCGATCCATTGATCATTTATCAGACAATCATAATGTTTAGAATCATGTTGTATATCATTGGAAATTTACTTTGCTGGGTGGATGTCGCTTGGTGGAAGGGTTCAAAAGATTAGCGCAGCTCCTCAACCTTCACTAGTTGCTGGAAAAAAACAAAAACAGAAATTAAGGTTTAGACAATAGTGAGACCATCAACTAATAAACTGTTGCCATTTACCTTAACAAAACTGGTAAACATGAAACATTTCAAAAATGTTTCACATATTTGTTGGTTTTAAAGATCATCGGTTTCATAAAAGAGGCACATTTTACTTTTCTTTTGCAAAGTATCCTATATTTTAGATTCTAAGTGCTACACATCACCATGATGCACCACTGCATGTGCTAAGAGTGTGGCAGGATTGTGCAACTGCTAAAAATAATTTTAAAAATCTGAACTTAAAAAGAATGTGAATTTGCTTTAAAGTGATGTTTGTATTTTTATGTTTTATTCACATATTTACAAAACCTACAGTAGCTGCACTGTTTACATTAACAATGTATCTTCATTAAAGTGAGTTGAATCCCCTCGACAACTGTTTGTCACCGTCACTAAAACACAAGCAAGTTGATGTGCAATGAGAGGAGGAGTTTGCAGAGTTGTAGACTCTTTCTAAACCCCAAAATTGCCTAACATTGTGTTCGAATAAACAATAAAATTCCAATGTAATAATGTGCTGTGCTTTAAATACATTAGTTTGTTTATCAACCATTACATCTCCTCTTGTGTGCTTTTGAGGTTGAAATTTCATGTGTCTATGGCTGTGACACAATCAATTACAGTGCCACATATCAGCAATTTTCACTGGTGGTTGCTTAGGACATGACTCAGGACACAAAGTCCAGAGAGAGAGAGAGAGAGAGAGCAGAGTGAGGAGGATGGTACATCAGCAGTTTGACGTGTCAGTTATATGTGTTTATTTAGTCTCTTGGCACATTATAGGACATTGTGGCTTGTTCTGTTTAATGTGAAGTATTCCAAAAAATTCCAAAAAAGGAAAAGATAATCATTTTGCAGGGCATCACAGTTCACACCACTTACATGTTGCTCAAAATTTCAGCACCCCTAACTTAAAACACCTTAAGGTATCCCTGTTTGTAAGTGTTTTAGAAACAAATTTCAAGCATTTATGCACAAACCTTTCAACAAAGTGACTATAAAATGACTGAAAACTGTACTATTGGTCCATCAGTGTCCAATAACTATATACAGAGAGTGTACAAATAACAGGAACACCACAAAAAGTGCTCATACTGATTGGCTATTTTATCTGGTACACTTATCATACAAAGGCATTTTTTAGATTTACAATTACTGACTTCAGTACATCTGCTGACATACAGTTTGTCAGCCCCCCTCTTCCCTGCCTGTCAATGGAAAAGGACCAACATAGGACCACCAGATATTATTTGGGTGGCGAATCATTCTCAGGCCTGCAGTGACACTGACATGGTGGTGGTGTGTTAGTGTGTGTTGCGCTGGTACAAGATACAGCAGCGTTGTTGGTACAAGTGGATCAGACACAACAGTTTTTAACACTGTGTCCACTTACGGTCCACTCTATTAGGCACACCTACTTTGTTGATACACTTTGTGTGCATACAGTTGAAGAGGCTAGTTTTTTTTTTCCTTGAAAATCTAATCTAATCTGTGTTAGTCCACCTTAAGTTCTTATTCGGATTTGATTTCTGACCACAGGACCATTTTGGGCTGGATGTTTTTTGTTGGTGGACTATTCTAAAAACTCCAGCAGGACTGCTGTGTCTGACACTCCAGCATCACATACACTAACATAACACTACCATGTTGCCATCACTGCAGTGCTGAGAATGATCTACCAGCCAAATGATACCTGCTCAGTGGTGGTCCTGTGGTGGTCCCTTTTCAGTGGTGGACAGGGTAGAGGATGGCAGATGCTGTGCAGTGACACATGGGCTACAATCCAACAATTGTGTACCTACTAACTGCACCTATATGTGAACCGGATCTGGTCATATGCAAATGTTTGGTCAAATAACACGTTTAAGTGAGAATAAGGTCACATATCTTCCACAGACAGCAAACTTAAATATGGCATTTTGAGCACATTTTAATTTACATTTATTTGCAAAATCTGACACACTGCAAAAGAAACATAAAATATAAAACGTGCCGTGACGTTTGCCTAGGCCATGTTTTTTTTTTCCTAATATGTTGAATTTATCAAATAAAAAGAAACTGCATTTAGATCTGCAGAACTGGTATGTGAAACACACTATAGATATTGATATAGATGTAGATATAGCTATTGAACTTATTATGATTATTTTATTATTGTGTTCTCTGTACAGGATGCAAACTTATTTTCACTACAATCAACAAAATATGTCATTTGACCAGGGCACCCAAGCTTCTGCATTTGACTGTTAATGTGTACCAGGTTAAATGAGTATTTCATGTGGTGTTTCTGTTATTTTAACATCCCCTGCAAACTGGTTAAAACTGCAAAGCAGTATTTGTGTGGGTTAACAGTCATTCTGCTGAATGTGATGGTTATTTTATGAAAATAAAGAATGTTGAGAGCATTTTAGGCTGTCTTGTGTCAAAGATGCCAAAAACAACCCAAATGCCTATGACCATGAACCTTCTTGTGATTTCATCATTGATTCTATGAACAAAATCTACCCAAGTCATGCAAGCGCAACTTTCTGCAGACTGGACAAACCTATCAAGCCATATAGCATGGGAATGGTCACTGTAAAAACGGGTGAAGTCCACATAAAATTTTGTGACATTCATAGATGCAGCTACATATCATCACTGTCCAAAAAAGAATCTCCAAAATGGCAACTTTACAGGAGAAGGCAAAAACATTCTTTACTTTTAATGTAAGTAAATGGAAAGAGATTTTATTCCAAGCAAATGTGGAATATTTCTATTGGTCTACTCATGATTAAATTTTCATAAAATGCAAATGACAGCTGTTGTGATCGAAAGACATAGAAACATAAAAATCTACAGAAAAAAATTGAGATTTTTTTTTTTTGGATAGCGACAATATTTCTTTTCAGATATCGCCATCATGCTGCAATGCTGCCATACTTACCAGCTGGGGAAGTCAGGTGCTCTGTTTTCATCCATATACATCATTATGCTTGTACCAGAAACAGACCCAGTGAACTCCCCACAGGCACCGCACAGCTCAGCAGCAATCGTCTCACTCACGGTGATTGTGATCCCATCTGTTAGACTGTAGGACAATTTGAGGGCCGATTCCTTCTCGATGATGACTGTTTGATCGATGACCTTTACAAGTATCTGATTTCTCTTTACATCTGGTGAAGTCAACTTCTTACCATTGAACTATACATTAAAAAGAAGAAAACAACAGATTTGTTAGGAAAGAAAATTACTGCAAAACGAAACATACAGTTTGTAATACAGTTTAAGTAGAAAAACATTTTACTCACCCAAATGTCAAGTTCGCTGTTAACAGTGACAAGCACTTCTTCAAAGAAGACGTAAACAGCTGCAGGTGTCAGAGCTCCAGAGTTACAGCCTTGCAACTCCACCACCACACGGAACCAGACTGTTACAGCAGCACTGTCACATACTTTCACCAAGTCAAAGGCTCCCATAGATGGGATGATCCAAGTTGTTCCATTAAATAGGGTGAAGGAGCCTCCAGTTTCCAACACGCATTCTTTTGGATAGCATCCACGAACGCCATTCTTGACCGTACAGACTTCATCACTGTTGCACGTCATGCTTTCAATGCTCACGATACCAGTATTAAGACAGGTCAAGCGTTCTTGGCAGTTGTCTGTGACGACAGACTCACCAATCTGTGGCAAAAATTAACAGGAGAAGCTCTGATACACTTTTTTTTCATTTTTTCAGTGAACTGTCAAATTGTCAGGTTTAAAAGCTTAGTACTGCACCACAGTCATTAACAGTGCTGGTTACCATTAAATTATAGCAACTTCCTTGCTCTCTTCCTTCAGTTAATTGCCTACAGCAGGGGTCTCAAATTACTTGGTGGTCACTAGCCAATTTGTCTCCTCCAAAAAGGGGCCGGTTAAAAAAGTAAATGCAATGGAAAAAGTGTCACCACAGACCTCAGCTTCTACTACTATTACTAACAATGTAATTATATGTTTCATAATTAATAAAATTAAGTATATTATAAATATTATAACTAATTAGAAGTTATCATTATTAGTTGAATGAGTAGTACATCATGTTAAAAATGATGGTTTCTCAAGGGTTCCTTAGTAAAGAAAATGGTTCTATATAGAACATTTGCTTGATTAAAGGGTTCTTAGCATCATGACAGGGTTCTTCAGATTGATGGAGAATGTGTTGTAGATGTAGACCCTTTTTGAAAAGGGTTCTATATAGCACCAAAAATGGTTCTTCTATCGTTATGATGTCAAGCTTGTAATAATAGAAGAACCCTTTTTGGTGCCATATAGAACCCTTTTCAAAAAGGTTCTACATAGTACCATCTATAGCACATTCTCCATCAATCTGAAGAACGCTGTAATCATGCAAAGGGTTCTTTGAGTGTTCATGACTCTGTATAGAACCATTTTCTTCACTAAAGAACCCTCGAAGAACCATCTTTTTGAAGTGTGTTATTCAACCATAACATTATGTGGGACTCTTATTGTGAAAGTATTGGTGTTTCTGCTGAACATAAACAAAGTCATTTCAAGTTCACAAAGCAGTAAATCTGTGTTCTCGTTTGATAATTCCATTCATTCCTTACTTCTGGCCTGTTGTGTGTATTGCAGTGTCAGAGATGAATTCATGAAGGCAGAGTTCATTCTCATTTAAAAGCAAAGCTAAGTCAGATATAACTTATGTTGGGTTACCATGAACAGTGTTTGGTGAGTGAAGCAAATCTACACTTCAAATGTAAATATTTAACTTTAGAATATATGACGGGTAATATGAAGCCATCTTGCAGACCGGATGCAGTTTGAGACCTCTGGTCTACAGGATTATGTGCAAGGAAAATTACAGAAAGTTTTCCCTTTTTTGGCAGAATCTTACTGTAAGCTATAGGATGCAAAATTGTTGGACAAAAATATCAACTCGGAAGGTGTGCCTAATAAAATGAGAACTTACCTTGTAGGTGCGCCCATTCTCATAACAACTACACTGATCTGCTTTAATGCAGCCCGTCCCATTGGTGAAGAATCCAGAGTCACACATACAGCCTTCAGCACAGGTCTTTATATCACAGTTGATGATCTCAGTGAGGCCAGGACAGGGTGAGTCGCATGACTGAGCACAGATTTCATAGTGACTGTTGGCTGGGCATTTCAATGCTATTTGGAACACAGATAAAGGAATGTAAGTCCAAGATTTCTTCTAAACAATGCAAACATTAACGTAATATTTGCAGATTCACTGAACACTTACGACAAAATGTTGACGTTCTCCAGTTTTTAACAGGAACCCCAAAGTCCTGACAGTCAATCATGTAAGCAGCAATGCTGTGGCAGAGCATGTTGTTATCTCCATCACCAGCACATACATCGTAGACACAATCTCTGAAGTAGGACTCAGGGTTAATTACACTGTGACAGGCAGCAAATGGACCTTCAGGGTTGGTAATGATGCTGCAGTCCTTTTCAAAGAGAGCTTTCTTGTCTGCAGAGCACGTTGGACAGAAGTCTCCAGTGCAGCCATCGTCACACACAACACCAGGAACAGCCACCTTCCACGCAGCTCCAAATGCTTTAATATCAGTGGTTACTTTACCATCTGGCAACAGTAACTCATCGTTCTTCTTACCATTATAGGTTCCACACATACCACAAGTTTTTCCAAGATAGCTGCTTGGGACTGTAACGGTTACGTGATAAACCATATCGTAGGCGACTCTCAGGCCAAAGTCTGTAGTGATAACATTTTGGAAGCCCTCCTGTTGGACCGTCACTCTTCCATCATCGAGACTTATAGGGATGTTGGTTAAGACACCATTAACCTGAAAGGAGAAACAAATAATGTGAACTTCTCTCATTCTGGTTTGATAGTTTTCTTTGGTAAACATTAACATTAACATGCATTATTGATGATTGGATCATGTTCAGATTTCACTTGATCGCATGAAAAGCCAGTTGTGAATATCCCTGGGATGCACTGTGATCAGATTACAATCTTGACCATATTACAACAACTAGTGTAAATAGAATAAATTTTCATTATCTATATACAATTACATGAGTGGAATGTGTCCAAGTGCTAACTAGAAAGTGAGAGGATAAACAATATGACAAAAGATGGAAGATATACAAGGCTGGAGTTCCCTAAACCAAGAAAAAAGCCTTCTTGCACTCCTGGCCGATGAAAGCATCCAAGCCAAGCTTGTCGATTTGTATCGTAATGATGGAAAAAATAAACAAAAGTAAAATGGAAATGAGGTTGATGTGCTTGTTACTCATCTAGTCAGAGTAGGGATGCATTTTGGTGAAAAGTGCAAATGGAATATGGTGAAAGAATACCAAGATAGGATCTGGACACAAGACATGTTAAAGCAACGTGCAAACAGACTGACTCTTTCCCACCTGACACACTGTATTTATACTTAGATGTTTATATCCAGTGTCCGGACAAGGCTACAAATAACAGGCTAGTTCACTTCATGGCTAACATAGATCCAGTTCTTCATGTCTGGTGTTTTACTCCCAGGGCAGTTGGGTCATGGCGTAAAAAGATATAGACAAAAACAGGCAGCTGTTCTGATTAGACTGGCCACATAATCAAGAAGTATGTTTGTCAAATATGTGATTCTCTAATATCTCCATTTATCGTTGAATGTGAACCAATTTTGAAATATGAAGATAACGTTACAATGAGGGACCTTGCATCAACATCACATCTGTGTTCCATGTCCAGATCATATCTAGATATACTCTGGCTGGATTCATTTATACTTTTCACTAAAATGCATCTGCAGCTTGACCAGAACAAGTCCAACTTCAGTATCACTTCTTTTTACATTCCACTGAGTTCTAGGCTAAGTGTGAGATACGAACTCCAAAGCGGTAGATAAGTCTTTTGTCTCATGTTTCGAGACACTAATTCAAGCGTCACCAACCCTGGTCCTGGGGATTGACCTTCCTGCAAAGTCTAGTTCCAACATCAATCTGCCACCCCTGCTCCAGCTAGGTAACTTCATCAGAAGTCCTTGATTGGCTGCATCAGATGCACTACTGGTAGGTAAGGAGGAGGCAGCATCTTAGATGCAAGTTGGAACTAAACTCCGCAGGAAAGTAGATCTTTTGAAGGAGGTCTGGTAGTCTGACAAACATGTTCTAGCTATTAAGCTGATAAAGGTCCTAGTAAAGTACCTCATATACTACTACTATATAAATTAAACAAATCATCTGTTTTTAGTATCCATGCAGTAATTATCGCGATATTATGTACCATATCTAATATTGTACATACCGCTATTTGATGTAGCAGATTTCGCCTCAGGACTAAAATCATGTTGTACACTTCCACCACAACCACCTTGGCCATAGAGACATTTGGAGTGAGCTGGATCTCATTCCACTTCTCATTCTCCACTATAACTGCAAATGGAGTGAGCTGAGTTCCCTCTAGATGGCAGCCCTGAGCGGCGGTGTAGGTGCAGGTACCCTGGAAGTCATATGTGCTGTTGTCGAATGTGTTGTAGTGGGGGTCACCATAGATGTTGCAAGTGCCATGAGATACTGCGTGGCATGCTCTGATCCCTTTAACAACACTGCATGCTGTTCCAGTTGGGCAGCTTGCAGTTTCACATTGAACTTGACCATTGGTTGGATTGCAGGTGCACTTTTTGCTGCAATTATCATCAGCCCAGATGGATTCTCCAGCCTGCAGGTAGCGTTTCTCACTTCCAACGCTGTACATACAGCCACACTGAGTCTTAGGGACACACTTGTTTCCACTCCACAGGTATCCATCGTTACAGACGCAGGCCTCCACACAGCTGGCTTGGCATTCAGCAGAAGGAGTGGGATTCTCACAGGTAGCAGGACAGGCACAGGACTCAAAGTGGCTGTTTGTGGGGCATGTAGGGGCAGCTGGTAGAGGTGACAGTGTAACCATCAGTGAAAGCACACATCCATGTACAAAATCTTTCATCTATGTTTACCACTATTATTATCTGCCCAGTTTTCATTATCACAAAGCATTCCATTTTGTATACTGCACTTATTGTATGTTCCTCTTTTTCCTAATACTTACGACAGCCAATGAGGTGTCTCCAGTCGTGTACACGTACACCAGCTCGCTGACATGCATCTGTGTAAATCTGAGCTGTCTTACAAAGAAAATGCTTAAATCCTTTTCCCATGCAGTAGTCAATAAGGCAATTTTCATAGAAAACCTTGGGATCAATAAGAGTCTTGCATTCACTAAATGGACCGTCAGTCAAGATGGTGACCAAGTGACAGAAGGCCTCTGCTGCCAAACGATCATACCATGGTTCTCCCTCACAGCTCTCACACTTGCCAACACAATCATCAGTACAATAGGCATCCTGCGGCAACCCTGGAACCCTCCAGCTCTTTCCCAGTGCTGGAATACTGCCTGCCAATGAGCCTGTGGGAGTAGTGAGGTCGTCATTCGCCTTCCCATTGAAGTTTCCACACATGCCACACATCTTTCCCATGAAGGTGTCTGGAATCTTTATCACCAGATATTGATCCCAGTTGTACTGCACTGACAGACCAAAGTCTGTCTCCACAATAACTGAAAGACCACTTTGCTGGAGGGTCACTTTGCCATCGTCCAGGGAGATGGGAAGGTACCAAAGAGAATCACTTATCTGAAACAAGTGAGAACATAATTGATATGGCAGCTGATTTAGACTGACAAGTAGTGACTCCACAAGGTAAAAAGTAAAGCAAACATTTCAAACATTTCTCACCCGCACAAGCCCGGTCTCATGGTAGACAATGGTGATGGTTTGATCATAGACTTTAATGATGACTTCGCTGACAAAAGTACCCTTTGAGCTGCCGAAACGTTCATTCATGGCCTGGACTTCAAATGCTGGGTACTCACTGTCTACATCACAGTTCTTGGCCATGATGTAGGTGCAGTTGCCCATGAAGTTGTAGTAATCACCATCAAAAGTGCGGTAATGTGGGTCGCCCATGACCCAACAGGTGCCTAAAACTAAAGGATGAATTTTGGTGTCCATCAGTTTATTCATTCTGACTTAAACTATTGATTTTGTATTGGGGAAATTTCCCTTGATGAAGTATTTATTATTATTGTTTTAGCACCCCTTAATGATCCATGTCCCCTGAGATTCTCTGACTATTTTAACACAATTTAACAGTTAAGTTTATTAAGTTTGGTGACAACTAGAAAAAGCATTCCAGAGTTTATGCTTCTGTGGTCATCGCAATGGATCAAAATTCTATACAATGTAGAAAAAAGTTGTTTAACCAAAGGTTTTACTTTTACTTACCATTAGGCTTTGGGTAACAGCCACGAATACCATTCTGAATCTCACAGACTTCATTAGTACCACATTGCATGGCTTCATGTTTGACTTCACCAGAGGCAATACAGGTCAAACGTTCTTTGCAATCGTTGGTGATGACTGACTGACCAATCTGCAAGAGGAGTTAGCAATCATTGACATGTGACCTACATACATACATACATACATCATCTAAACCGCTTATCCTTCTGGGTCACGGTGGGGTGCTGGAGCCTATCCCAGCTGTCATTGGGCGGAAGGCAAGATACACCCTGGACAGGTCGCCAGTCCATCACAGGGCAGACAGACAGACATACACATTCACACATACACACATACACACACTCACACCTAGGGGCAATTTAGCATGTCCAATCAGCCTGACTGCATGTTTTTGGACTGTGGGAGGAAACCGGAGTACCCAGAGGAAACCCACGCAGACACGGGGAGAACAGGCAAACTCCACACAGAAACGACCCTGGTCACCCGGCCGGGAATTGAACCCAGGCCATTCTCGCTGTGAGGCAACAGCGCTACCCACTGCGCCACCGTGCCGGCGGCGACATGTGACCTGTTTTTTTTTTTACTGCTTACTTGATGACATCGATGTGGCCAAGTGTTAAACACTCCTGCTACAAGTTTAACAACTTGGTATAATTTGTCATAAATAACTTCCTTAACACTAGTATGTGAAATACCCCCTGTTATTCAGGGGGTCCTATGTTAGCTGGCTACTCCAGTGTTGGCTGGCTGCTAACTCACTTACCATAGCAACGCTGGTGCTAGCTTGAATGGCAGCAAAACATTTGGTTAACAATTCTTCTTTTAGAAATGCTTTTTTCTAGTTTGATAATGTGCTCTCCACATTAACTGAGACCTTACAGGCATAGATACAGTTGCTAGCCCATGAAGGACCAACTGGGTGAATCAATTTGCTACAGCGCCAGCTTGAGGCAGACAAGTGCTGTAACTCTAGTTAGTTAAGACTACCAAATACAGAACCTCACTGATTGTCCGTGGAGCAGGCCAAACAATGACCTTTCCTTGTATTTGTATTTAATGATCTATTTTCTCTGACAAACAGCAAAAGTTCATAATAAGTTTATTTTCAGGACCCCCAAGAATTTTGATTTTGAGACATTCAGGGGTGAAAGAAGTTGATTAGGGGGTCCTGGAACCTCCAAGACCCCCTGTTTTTCACACCTTGCTTAACACCAAACTGGCTTTTGTGAGCACGACAGTACTGAGACTGCATTAGTTGTTAATCATAATCATTTTTTCTATGCCAAAACACAAAATACAAAAGGTTACACTAAACAATACAGAGGTGACTAACCTTGTAGGTGTGTCCGTTCTCATAACAGCTACACTGATCTGCTTTAACACAGCCTGTCCCATTGGTGAAGAATCCAGAGTCGCACATACAGCCTTCAGCACAGATCTGAACTTTACAGTCGATGATTTCAGTGAGGCCAGGACAGGGTGAGTCACATGACTGAGCGCAGATTTCATAGTGACTGTTGGCAGGGCATTTCAGAGCTATAAGGAAAAAGTATAAGAAATATATCAGTTAACTAAAACATTGTATATATAATGAACATGCTTTACTATATTTAGGCCATTTTACAACTTGTTTCTATACGTACGACAAAACGTTGACGTTCTCCAGTTTTTAACAGGAACTCCAAAGTCCTGACAGTCAATCATGTAAGCAGCAATGCTGTGGCAGAGCATGTGATGATCTCCATCGCCCATACAGACATCGTAGACACAATCTCTGAAGTAGGACTCAGGGTTAATTACACTGTGACAGGCAGCAAATGGACCTTCAGGGTTGGTAATGATGCTGCAGTCCTTTTCAAAGACAGCTTTCTTGTCTGCAGGGCACGTTGGACAGAAGTCTCCAGAACAGCCATCATCACACACAACACCGGGAACAGCCACCTTCCATGCAGCTCCAAATGTTTTAATGTCTTTGGTTTCTTTACCATCAGGCAACAAGAACTCATCAGTTTTGTTACCATTGTTGTTGCCGCACAGTCCACAGGTCTTCCCGTGGTAGCTGCTGGGGACTGTGATACTGACATGATAAACCATATCGTAGGCGACTCTCAGGCCAAAGTCTGTAGTGATAACATTTTGATAGCCCTCTTCCTGGACTATCACTTTTCCACCATCCAGACTTACAGGGATGTTGGTCAAGATCCCATTAACCTGAAAGTATAGCATATAATCAAACATAAATGTGTGTACTATTCACCCATCTGCTGTCTGTTTTACTAGCAGCAACAGTTCCAGCTGACAATTTTAGATTTGGGACAAATTAATTAGAGAGGCTGTGTAGTTGTATGTAGCATTCTCAGAGGAAGAAGGCAGTAAATACTTTTGTCATACCTTGTAAAAAACTATGTCATGTCTGTAATTACTAATCATAATGATTTCCCTACGCTGTTAGAAATAAAGGTGCTGTGCAGATTTTTTGTTTATCCAGGTACAAACATGTAAATGTTCCCTCAAAGGTACAACAGTGGTTTTAAGGTCCAAATACCTTAATTAAATACCTTAATTAAGTTTTCCCAGGTAAAAAGTATACATTTGTATCGTTTCATAACCTAATGTTTTAAAACAGAACAATAAAATAAAAAGCCTGGAGACGAGACGGGAAGTGTGGAATCAATACAACTTAAAAAAATATTATTTCAATGGATTATGGTATAATTATGTTCCCTGACTAAAGGTACTGAGATGTACCCTTGAGGGAACCACCCCAGTGACAACAGCTGTACTGCCCCAGTGACAGTTTCATACCTTTATTTCTGAGAGTGTACAGTAAACTCAAATTGGGAAATGGGAAGGCCAAATTTATTTATTTAATTTTTCTGCCATGGCGCTCTCGGCAGGGTGTTATGTTACCTCACCAAGAAATCCACCAGTACCAAAATGCATGTATGAATATATTGTATGAAAAAGGTTGATCTCCCCCAGTCAAATTACAGGTGACATGTAATTTGACTTGCAGAGATCAAAGTGAAAATAAGTTGGCATATGGCATTTTTCTGCAAATTTTATAATTAATTTGCTTCGTTTAACATATTGTGAAAAAATGAAATATAAAATTTACCATAACTTTTGCAGAGGCCACATTTTATGTTTAATGTTTCACGGTTTCTTGTTAGTTTACCTCGGCAAATGACCACTATGTTAACTTATTTTCATTTACAAAATCAACAAAACATCATTTGACCAGGATCACCCAAACTTTTGCATATGACTGTAGAGATATTGAACAGAAAATATGGTGGATATCAAAAATGTATCACTGTGTTGAAGAAAAGGCTATATTTAGGAAGTCCAATTTATGACACACTAAAGACACTATTCTCCAGTATTAATGCTGGAGAGTCACAAGTGCACAAAAGAAAGGCATTTTATAGAATTACATTTTTACTGTTTTCAACACACATCTGCCTACATCTGCTAAGAGTTTATAAATCGCTGTGTTACACATTACTACTATATAAAGGCTAGCACTCATGAAGTCTGTGTGCTCTAAGACTTACCATTATCTGATGTAGCTCATTTCTTCGCAAGACCAAAATCATGCCATACACCTCCACAACGACCACCTTGGCCACGGACACGTTTGGACTCATCTGGATCCCATTCCACTTCTCATTCTCCACTATAACTGCAAATGGTGTAAGTTTTGTTCCCTCTAGATGGCAGCCCTGAGCAGCGGTGTAGGTGCAGGTACCCTGGAAGTCATAAGTGGTGTTGTCAAATGTGTTGTAGTGGGGGTCGCCGTAGATGTTGCAGGTCGATTGAGAAACCGGATAGCAGTCTCTGATCCCTTTAACAACACTGCATTCTGATCCACCTTGGCAACTTGTGTTCTCGCACATGACTTGACCACTGGTTGGATCGCAGGTGCACTTTTTGCTGCAAGTGTCATCAACCCAGATGGATTCTCCAGCCTGCAGGTAGCGCTCAACGCCTCCACTGCTGTACATGCAGCCACACTGAGTTTTAGGGACACACTTGTTTCCACTCCACAGGTATCCACCATCACAGACGCAGGCCTCCACACAGTTCGCTTTGCATTCAGCAGAAGGAGTGGGATTCTCACAGGTAGCAGGACAGGCACAGGATTCATACTGACTGTTTTCAGGACATGTTGGGGCAGCTGAGAAAAGATGAACAGATGTGACAGTGAGTGAAATAAATCACATAAAAAAACAGGGAAGTGGGAAGTAGGGGTTTATTTTGCTATATATTTTATTATATCTGCAGAAGCAAACATTGAGCATGATATTTGGGGAATTTCCCCAAAATGTCATATTTCAGGTGAGTGCCTGGGCTTTGAAAGCTTGTATACTGACAATGCATATCTTTCCATTCAACAGAGGGCTTGAACAAACAGTGTAAATGTGGCTTGTAAATATTCCTCAAGCTTGAGTTCTATTACTATTATTATGTCTTGTTTCTAATACTCACGGCAGCCAATGAGGTGTCTCCAGTTGAACACACGTACACCAGCTCTCTGGCAAGCATCTGTGTAGGTCTGTGCTGTCTTGCAAAGAAAGTTCTTGTACCCATTGCCCATGCAGTAGTCAAAAAGGCAATTTTCATAGAAAACCTTGGGATCTATGAGAGACTTGCAATCACGGAATGGACCATCAGTGAGAACGGTTACAATATGACAGAAGGCCTCTGCTGCCACACGTTTAAGCCATGACACTCCCTGACAGCTCTCACACTGGCCAGCACAATCATCACTACAATAGGCATCCTCTGGCAAGCCTGGAACCCTCCAGCTCTTTCCCAGTGCTGGAATACTGCCTGCTAAGGAGCCTGTGGGAGTAGTGAGGTCATCATTCTTCTTCCCATTGAAGTTCCCACACATGCCACACATCCTTTCCATAAAGTTGCTTGGTACTTTTACCACCAGATATTGCTCCCAATCATACTGCACTGACAAACCAAAGTCTGTCTCCACAATAACTGAAAGACCACTTTGCTGGAGAGTCACTCTGCCGTTGTCCAAGGAGATTGGAAGGTACCAAAGAGAATCATTTATCTGAAGTGAGAACATGAATGATAAGGCAGGAATTAATGTGATTTTCTTTAAAAAAAAAAAATCTTGATGATAATTCTGTTTTGCTTTTGAACTTAAGAGTGTACCTAAATTAATTGGGCTGGCCCGAACAGCATTTTCTGTGCGTCAAATATTTTTAAATGAGTACTTGAAAACTTCTCAAAATCATTATTAAAAGCAATAATATTTTAAGCGAATTCAATCATCTGTCTGTTGGAACAGATGCGCTTCCATTTTAATTTAGTGTTTCCGTTCACCTGTGTTGTAAGCTATAATTAAAATAATTATTTACTAAGATCTGATAGACTTGGTGGTGCAGTAGTTGGTGCAGCAGCTCCTGCGCTGTACTAACAGTGTATAGAGGCTACACTTCTCAGATATGAGATCTGTTGTTTGTTATTTGTGCTGTCAAGTTTTAAACCTGCTGTAAAATTGTTTTACCCATTGAAATCCCAGGCTTATTACATACTAACACTATTATTCAGTAACTACAGAGACTTCAATGCAAACAAGCCTATTCTTAGGTTATAGAAGTGTGCAATAAAACTTTGGGCCTGCTAGTGGGCCCTGGCCATTTACAGGGTTACTCGGAAAGGAAAGAGAGATAAAAGAGCTGATATTCCTGCCTAAAGTGGTTACGAGTTGGAGCTGAGTGATTTCTTAGTCGTCTTTGCTGTTTTAGCTTTAGTGGAAAGTTATGTGGAAAAGCAGTGCAGGTTGTTGCACTCTGGGGATGCCTGGCATGAATTTATGCTGCTTTCAACAAAAGCAGCTATATTTATTGTTTTTTTTAACATTTTGCATTTATTAACCATAACTGTATTATCTAAATGTCGTTGCTGCTGAAATTTCTTTTAGGCTACGATTTTTGTGGCTTAAAAAGGATGAAGCTTTCAAATACTACATAGAGAAATGAAAACCAAAGTAATAAACAAACACACGATTATTCAAATCATTGAGGCCAGCCCTATAAAAATACACATATCAGACTGTAGTAGTAGAATACTCATATATTCATACATTATATACACTTACCCGTACAAGCCCAAACTCATTGCGGACAATGGTGATGGTTTCACCGTAGACTGTAATGACAATTTCGTTGACAAAGGTGACTTTTGAACTGCCACTGCGTTCATTCTCAGCCAGGACTTCAAAAGCTGGGTGTACAGTGTCCACATGGCAGTTCTTAGCCATGATGTAGGTGCAGTTACCCATGAAGTTGTAGTAAGTGCCATCAAATGTACGGTAGTGTGGGTCGCCCATGACCCAGCAGGTACCAACAGAAGCTGGAGGAAAATTTAGCACATTAATTCACTTACCTATGATTCTACTGTAATTATGAAGAGACAGTAAAATAAGAGAATACATATCAGCTCTAGTCTTAAATACACAAGTACCCGATAGCATCTTGAGTATTTGCTACTCTGATTCCCCATATGGAAGAAGAATATATTTGCACAGAATAAAATTATATGCAATATGCGTGACACTAAATATTGTAGCTTGTTGGGGAACGTGGTTGGGGTTCTTTGGTTTGATTGTGTAGAGCGGCAGTGGGAGTCCATGTTTGGGGCTGTTTGTGCTTCAGTGCTGGAAGAACTGGGGAGTCGAGGTTGAGCACTTGAGCAGTGTGGATGTGCTGCAGGCTCTTTCCCCTGCAGGTTGGGGGGCTGGGGGGGCTAAGTCATCAGCTAATTAGAGAGCTCTGTTAGCATTCTGACTGTGTGTCTATGAAGCTGTGGCGGATACAGTCCTATAAAGCATAAAACATGTAAACATTTGTGTCTCCCTCTTTCATACTAGCAAAGATGTTACAATATATTTAACCGTGCCATTTTTGAATATGTATATATTATATTTCCTTTGCATATTGGTCTGTTTTTGTATATGTTGTTCAGTTACTCAAGGGTTATAATCACAATGCATGCTGCACTGCCCAAGTATATCATATCACTCATGATTGAAAAAAGTCAAACCTCAAAAATAACTTTGTATGTTCTGTAAGTGCAGCAATAGATTTTACACTAAAAGAAAACATGTCATAATATAGGGTAACAGAATGGCATCATGATGTCAGAAAAAAAACAAAACTCTCACTTCATCATACATCTATATGGATAAGAGAATGAGAGAAGTAACCAGAATAATGATTATTATTCACACTTCTACCACAATGCAAAAGTCCTTGTACTACAGCATGTCTGTCCTTCTTCCTTATATTCAACTTTGTTGCCAAACAGTACAGCCTTGCCTTTTTATTTCTGTAACTGTTTTTATAGTGATTTTGTTGGCTTACCTGGAGGATTACCAGGGGCTGGAGATCCATATCCATTCTGCTTGGCAGCACCAAAGCTGTACAAGGCGAAAGGTGAGTCTGGATGGGCTACCTGATAGAAGCCTGAAGTTTCACCATAACTGAACTGCGTCCATGAGTATTCACTTTTCCCAGCTTGAATCCACTGGAGATCTTTTGATATCGCAGTTGTATCTAGTGTCAGTTTACTCAAGTCAGAGGTACGAGCTACAATAATGGCTTCATTCGTAAAGCCAGCTTGCCCCTCCATTGTGTAGGAGGTGCTAAAGCGGTCTGTTGACAGGATGGTGATGAGGAAGGGGTCATTCACCACTCCGTTTGGATTCGTTCCTCCATTGAACTCGTACAGGACCTGAACCCCTTTATCAGCAGTGAAATGCAGAGAGTTGGGGTATGGAATATTGATAAAGAGGGATTCTCCAGGCACCATTTGCTTGGGTGAGGCTGTACCATCTTGAGTAGTGATTTGGAGTTGAGTGCTTTGCGAAGCCTGAATGATCACTGTATCAAATCTAAACGAAGGTTCTGAGTACGCAAGAGTCGCAACTGTGAACTCCGTACCCCAACTACTTACGGGCAGTAGCTGTTCATACACATGATTGCACTCTGAGAAGTACCAGGTACAGCTGTGGCCTGTGAAAACAGCGACTGGTTGCTTGGCAGTTACTTTGGAGCCAGTCAGGTCGTCTGTACTTTGGATCTGCACACTCTCAAATGGCTCCAAAGTGATGGTAAGTAGGCTCCCTCTTGAGTATTGCTGCCCTTGAAAGGTCACTGCACCGTTTAACAGAATCTCTACTGTATTTTGGCTGCCTTGATTGGTGATGGCAAACTCTTTAAAGGTATCAGGTGGGCCCATCTGTGGAGTGTAGATGTAATACTCTGTGCCCCAGTCCTTCACAGGGTAGATCACTGAGGTATCTGCTGAGTAGGGCTTAGAGTTCAGAGATAGTACCAAAATTTCTTGGTCAGCCTCCACCTGGACGGTCTGTTTGCTTTTTGTGGTTCCAGTCATCTCCACCCCATCGGGAAGCTGGAATGACTCTCCAGCTCCTGGCTGAAGAGTCTTCTCAAACACTTGCCCCAGTGCAGTCACCTTCACATTGGTGCTTAATATGGAACCTGGGGGGCTAGAGATCTCCACCATGAAACGTGATTGGCCATTATTAGTCCCTGGTTTGTAATTCTGCATGAAGGACAGAGCAAATTCTTTCCCTGCGGGCCCAGCAGTGCAAAGCCCTGGGAGATTTTAAGAAAAAATAACACGTAAATAAGACATAATTTACAGCACATTTTATATTCTTAAAGGCTAAAAACTTTAAAAAAATGAATTTATTTGCATTATATTATTGTGTTCTATGTCTTTTCAAATGCGAATTTACCCATTTTAAAGCCATATATGAAGTTCAAATATTGGTGATGGCATTAGCATTTGAGCTTAATGTGTGCTGTTAAAGTACCTCACTTTAAATGGACAAATTTGCTTTTGACTATTGTCAGATAATGTCAGTACAATCATATGCAAAGGTTTTAACATTGCCAGTCAAATTACACATTTTGTTTATTTTATAAGTAAAAAAAAGTTAGCACATCTTCTACAGGGAATAAACTTAAATATGCCAATTTCTATCATTTTTAGTGCACAAAGTTTAATTATTTGCTAAATTTGACACATTGGAAAACATAAAACAAATATAAATGGTGCCAGAGCTTTTGCACAGTCCAGATTTTATGGTTTGTCTTGTAACAATGTGACATTCAGCAAATAAACAGTAATTATGCATTAAAATATGCAAAAGTGTGTTCTCTGCAGAGGATATGTTATGTAACTTACTTTGACTTAAAAAATCAACAAAATGTACAACCCCATTTCCACAAAAGTTGGGACACTGTGCAAAATGTAAATAATTGCAATGATGTGCAAATCATTTAAGCCCTATATTTCATTGAAAATAGTACAAAGACAACATATCAAATGTTAAAACTGAGAAATTTTATTGTTTTTTGAAAAATATTTGCCCATTTTGAATTTGATGCCAACAACACGTTCCAAAAAAGTTGGGATGGGGGCAACAAAAGACTGGTAAAGTTGTGTAATGCTAAAAAAACACCTGGTGGTTGATTGGCAACAGGTCAGTAACATGATTGGGCATAAAAAAGTCTTTAAGAAGTAGATATAAGGAGGGGTTCACCACTCTGTGAAAGACTGCACAAGCAAATAGTGTAACAATTCAACAATAAAGTTTCTCAATGTAAAGTAGCAAAGAACTTTTGCTTTTCATCATCTACAGTACATAATAACATAGAAAGAATCTGAAAATCTGAAGAAATCTCTGTATGCAAGGGACAGGGCCAAAAACCAGTATTTGCTGGCCGTGATCTTTGGGCCCTCAGATGGCACTGCATTAAAAACAGACATGATTCAGCAGTGGAAATCACTGCATGGGCTCAGAAACACTTCTGAAAACCACTGTCTGTGAAAACAATTTGTTGCTGCATCCACAAATGCAAGTTAAAACTCTAAAATGCAAATAAGAAACCATATATAAACAGGATCCAGAAACGGTGCCGCCTTCTCTGGGCCTGAGCTCATTTTAAATGGACTGAGCTGAAGTGGAAAAGTGTCCTGTGGTCTGACAAATCAATTTGAAATTCTTTTTGGAAATCATGGACACTGTGTCCTCTGGGCTAAAGACAACTCGGGTTGTTATCAGCACACAGTTCAAAAGCCAGTATTCATGATGGTATAGGGGTGCATTAGTACACATGGCATGGGTGACGTGCGTATCTGTGAAGGCACCACTAATGCTGAATGATATATACATGTTTTGGCAACATATGCTGCCATCCAGACGATGTCTTTTTCAGGGAAGGCCTTGATTATTTCAGCACGACAATGTAAAACCACATTCTGCATGTATTACAACAGCATTGCTCCGTATTAAAGGGGTCTGGGTGCTAAACTGGCCTGTCTGCAGTCCAGACCTGTCACCACTGAGAACAATTGGAGGGTTATGAAATGAAAAATACAACAAATGAGCCCCCAAACTGATGAAATCCTATATCAAACAAGAATGGGAAAACATTTCACTTTCAAAACTACAGCAGTGTCTCCTCAGTTCTCAAACGCTTACAGAGTGTTGTTAAAAGAAGAGGTGATAAAACACAGGGGTAAATATGACCCCGTCCCAACTTTTTTTGAAATGTGTTGTTGGCATCAAATTGAAAATGGATTCAAATGGATGCAAATATTTAAAAAAAAAAACAATAAAATTTCTTAGTTTCTACATTTAATTTGTTGTCTTTGTACTATTTTCAATGAAATATAGGGTTTTAATGATTTGCACATCATTGCATTTTGTTTTTATTTACATTTTGCACAGCATCCCAAGTTTTTTGGAAATGGGGTGGTAATTTGACCTAGGCTGTCCAAACATTTTTAACTTCAAACAAATAAGTTAGCCCTTTGAAACACATTTAAAATATAATATGCTTTATGGATTCCAGCAGGGTTCTAAGTAAAGGTTGGAAGTTCTTACCACAAAGCAGGGCAGCAACCAAAGTACAGAGAATCCTCAACTCCATAGCTTGAGGTAAAGAGCAATCAATTAGTTTCCACACAAAGTCTAGACAAATTCACACTTAAGATATGAATAAAAAAGAAAACTAGCATAAACTACTTTCCCTTAACAAGTTTTAGCATCTCTGAATGCTTTCACACCTTCTTTCCCCCCTTCAGATCCCTCATTAACAGCGTCCTGTCTTACCTGAGTCAAAGCTGTGACACAAAGTGTGCAGCTGATCTGGAACCTGCAGCTTAAATTCACTTCTCCAAGTTTGCAGCAGCCAATCAGCGCTGCTTTGGCACTGCTGAAAGAAACTGCATGTGGGGCCACATGATCTCTTTTGATGGAATGTTTGGAGACCACATAATAGAAAGGTGGTGGTCAGACTGGCCACACCTGTGTTATCTCATGCTGCCAGTCACAGAGACAGAGTGCATTTAGATTTAGTTCTTTATTGATCACTTTTATATTGCCAATGTATGCGCTTTTACGTAAGATATGTGTACCTTACATTCATTAACACTAGAGCACAGTGAAATTACAGTAAAGTGCAATAAGATTTCCTGGTCTAAAGAAGGAAAATTCTAAACACGTATCACAGCCATTTTAGACAATCCAGGCAGGTTGCACCAGCTGTATGTAATTTCAAACGACACAGAAAGACAAAGGTAGACCAAAACCACACCAAGTTCAAAACACCAACTGCTATATGCTCTTATTTTAACTCCAAGCATGAAGCTAACACCCACAGCCCTTGTTCAGTGAACATCTAAACTGATGCTGCTATTGTGTCGCTTGGCCAGAAATTACTGTTTAAAAAAGCTGCATATTTGGTTGTCACAGTTTTATTAACTTGTACACAATGGTCCTCATTCACCAGCCATTCATAAGAAGAAATTTCTCCTGAAAACCCACTTACACAGTTTTCATGAAGATTCTGACGTTCACCAATGTTTTCTTATTTGGGATTTGTTCTTAGGTAAGAACAGAATCTACGAACACTCAAGAGCACAAAGGTGCAAAGGATTCTGTGGTTTCAGAACACATCATGAATCTGATGTAGACTTTTTTTAGGACCTTTCTTAAGAACAAATTTAATAAAAAACTTAGGAAGATGATGGTGAATGAGGCCCATTGTTTTTTTTTTCTTTAGGGCTTGGGAATGTGATGTCATAACTCATTGTTTTATGGGTGATCCACCATTGTGGCAGGGCTAGTCCGTCTGGGCTGGTTAAGAATAGTTGATCTCCTTTTCTACCTGGAAATCCTATCTAAAGCCCATGGACTCATTAAATATGTTTGCAGAGCTGACTAGCACAAAAATCTGACTACCAGATCAAAGATCAGAGCAAAATTGAGAAATGTGAACAGGAAAGGAAGGTTCATTCAGTTAATGAGATGCAGCTCTAGTTAAACACAATATTCAACACATTCTCCATCAAGCTGAAGAACCATTTCATGCTTAAATAGCAGAGCAAGAATGTGTATAGAGAGAGCTTTTGGCAGAATGAAAGCCAGATGGCCTCGTAAAAAAAAACTTATCACAACTTCAACATAATCAATAAAGTGGTAGTTGCATGGCGTACAATGCATAATTTTGTAACAGCAGAGCGGAAGAGCTAGAGTCTAATCTTTTGAAAGATGCGGAAATTCATGGAACGATGCATATGAAAGACAGAGAGGAGCCACTCAGTCATTCCACAGGTTACACAGTAATTCAATCCATTTTAAAATGGAAAAAACATGATTCAAAGCTCACTTTGAATTCTGTTTGCTTCTGTATGTATATTATTGATTTCTCATTAAGGATAAGGAGATACATATTACCCTCATTAAGGATAAGGAGATACATATTACCCTCATTAAGGATAAGGAGTTATGTATGTTATATTGTCTTTTCTTTAGGATGAAGTAAACAGACCTCTGATTTCTGCTGTTATTTATTAATGTAAATAAGTGTCTTTCTAAAAAAAAAAAACACTTCAGAAAATCTTCATTTTGAACAGTGCATTTGAAAATGACAAATGCAACAAAATATGTACATGTGACAAAAAAGTACTTGTTTCATCAATTTAAACCAAGTCTGAACCATGGCTGATGAGTTGACTGGTGAGCTGAGGTAAGGGAAAGAGAGGTGTCTCCTCTGTGGTGCAGAGGGGAGGGAAAGTGTGGGAAATGGCTGTGCGCATCACTTGAGCAGCCATGTGCATCATGGCTTGGTCACTTTTCATCTGGGCCTGTTGGTGTCTCTCCTCCATCCCAATTTGAGGCCTATCTTCCCTTTGTTGCTAAAAACTGAGCTTATCATTGAGGCCACATCTGTGATGGTTCTCTTAGCATTAGGACGTTTAGGCTTGTGGATGGCCGCTACAACAGGTGTGCATATGTAGAATCAGAAGTGTCTGCTGGTACATCACTTTCGTCAGGATTCAGCAACACTGCTGCTCTTCTGGTGTCCTCTTCTGTACAAGACAAAAAAGAGCTGTTATTCTATTATGCATTATTTTATGTAAGCAGGCAAAAGAGAGAGAACAACATTATAACCTTATCTTGTTCTGAGTTCATTTGACTTGTTCACATAAGCAAAAAAAAACATGACTCAGCAGTCTGAGTCTATTTGAAATACTGAAAAGGTTCAAGTGTGAAAACGACCCTATAGACTTTAGATTGACTGCCCCTCAGAGTAAATTTAGGATATATGATCTAATATGTGGGGCTTAATTTTGTACACTACAGTAATGTGTCATTAGTTTTCTAACTAGCCAGGCAAGCCATGGAAAAGCCACCTACAGAGGAAAACGCCAAAACCAAGTGAAATGCGTCGGTAACTGGGTTAAATGAAAATTCAGAAGAATTGTGGCTGAGTGAAATACAGCAGTAACTGAGTTAAATCTGCCACTGGCTGGGTGAAAAGAGCTTTAAGTGACTTGAAAATCTTGACCTAATTAAAGTACTACAAGCACTTAAGCCACACAACAGCAGGGAAAAACTGATCATTGCTCCACTCGTTTTTTGGGAGTTTGTGTGGATGCACAACATCAAAAAACTCATTTGTATTGTATAGCATTGTATGGCTGTTTGGTATCCTTCAAGAATTGGTTAAGATACGCTCACATTTCATTTGATTCAATACAAATCATGACAAACCTGAAAATACACAATAAAAAAGTCATTTCTTTAAGCTCTCACAGTGTAAGCAAGTATTTGCAGCAAGTAAACAAAAAATGAACTAGAGGTCTACGCAGGACTGTTTTTTCAGTCCCACTCCCACAAGATTTCATCCCGCTCCTGCCCGCTCCCACTAAAAATCGGAATCATTTCTCCTGCTCCCGCCTGCAACCGAAACGATATGCCCCACTTCCACTCGCGCAGTCCAGCTCACATCCAATATCTGACACAGTCTAATCACAAATACATTATCCTCTGCTGAAATAACACTGCAGTCATGGTCATCAGGCTCACTGTGAGTAACTTAACCAAACGCCATTTATTCCCAGTAAACAGAAGGCAGGAATTAAACCACAGAGTGGTTATTTTTTGGTGTTTTGCTGGGTAGCTGTGGCTGTCGGACCGAAGGCTCCACCATCTCTCACACATGCTACCTCCTTTCATACATACAGCATTTGAGCTGCGGAGCAGCGAGACAGTTATACAGACATTCCTGTTTCCAGATGGGTAAATGGTCACATCAGTCACTCTTCTCCATATATATAAAATGTAATTTATTAATGTACACGGTATATTTGTTTTTCGACAGCATTCTGACTTGTGATTAGGCAAAGTTTCAAGCCTAAATGGGTCTGATTTCTACCCGCTCTCACGAGCAACACTGAAAATTATATTGTGTTGGGTCTCGTGGGTCCCGCGGTAGTGCAGACCTCTAAAATGAACCCTGCCAATATGGCGGAATGATCCCTTAATGGAGCGCAATGTACTGTTCTTTACCAAGCCCTTTTTAGCAACAAATACCAGAGATGGGTTTGGCGTAGACACAATGATATCCTTGTAAAAAGGTACAGTGGTGGATGTTGTGGGGCTGAGCAGCAAGGATGCTTAAACTGGGCCGTGGTTGGATCTTCCAGCAGGCACACACAAAATTAAAGGTTCATTAACCACAGAATCAGGGTTTTATCTAGGTCACCCCAACCCACTGACCTAAATCCCATTAAAAACCTGTGGGATGAACTAAAGAGGAGAGTCCACAAGTGTGGATCTCGGAATATGAAGGACCTGGAGAAATTTTGTATGGAGGACTGGTCTCAGATTCTTTGCCATGAGTTCTCCAGTCTGTAAGACGTATCCAAATTAATTGATCTTAACTAGATTTACCTGAGTAACTAAGGCATAAATATAAGAAATAGTAAGTGTGGTTAGATTTTCATTAGTAAGTTTAACAGATAAGCAAAGCAAACCAAAAAAATGAAGCTTGTGCAATTGTTATGTTTCCCAGTGTAGTTTTTCATTTATTAACAAAATGAAGTGCATAGTGTCATGATCCATACATTAAAGACACAAAATAAATATCATAAATCATATGGACGGTTTTGTGTAGAATATCATCACAGAGATGCACGCGCAACTGGTAGACAGAAAGCAACAGAAAGCAGCACTCTTCATGGCGTAAAGCAACAGTGACAAGTAGCTGGTGTGTGGTAAATTGCACCAACTGCAGAGAAGATGGTTGGAAAATGTTTAATATCTTGAGAGGGATCACATCCCTTTGCCAAACACCGCAGAAGATTATGGATTCAGGCCAAAAAAACGGGCAGATTGGGGTCCCAGTGGTCCCAAAGGCAGTGAAAGTCTGTGCAGCGCCCACTTTGTTTCTGAATGTAGTGTTTTTTTGTTAGGGTGACTGACTCTCAACACAACTTAACTGTAGTTTTAATACTGGAAGCATTTTCTGACACTGTAATTTAGACGAGGCTGAAGTCAGCTTCCTATTCGCCAGCTTCGTGTTCAAATTTTCCCGTTTCACCCTAAATGATGCCTGAGTGGGCAGTGGCCTAAGGTGCCAGAATGTAACTGCTGCACCATTTAAGGTGGAACGGGGAAATTTGAACAAGAAGCTGGCGAATAAGAAGCTGATTTCAGCTTTGTGTAATTGAGGCTGTCAAAGTATCCTACCTATAGTTTTATGTAGAGCTCTACCTATTCATAACGCGCTTTAATAGGACACTTCGTCGCACAATACGTCAGAACACCGGTACGTTTCTTAGCTACTTAGGTAATGAGTAAGTTAGCACTGGGTGTGATTCATATTATACATTCATGATAGCTAAACTAAATATTATTGGTTTTATTCAGTAGGT